CTGAGGCACGGAGACACCCCCACCCCCCACCCCATCACACGCAGCCGGGCTCTGGGGGACACGAGTCAGCGGAGGCACGAGTTGGTGAAAGGGGAGTAGGGAAACTGAGGCATGAAGACACCCCTCCCTCCTCCACTGCCATCCCCCACCACTGGAAGAAGAGCAGGGAAACTGAGGCACGAAGACACCCCCAGCCTCCTCACAGACACACAGAGCCTGGGCCCTGTGGGGCACAAATCCGCATATGCCTGGCGACCGGCTACTGGCAGCAGCTTGGGGCCAGGCCTCCTCTCTCCCTGCTCCCCAACCCCTGCCCTCAAGTCCCGCAAAGCCCCCCATAAGCACCCTCCATGCCCTTGAGTTCTGCTAGAGCCCTGCCTCAGTTTCCCCATCTGTAACATGGGGGCAAGCGGGTGTCCCTTTCTCCCATCCTTTGGGGCGGGTGCTGCCCCTCGCTACCCGCAGGTCCTGTGCCTCCCCCTGCACATACTGGTGGTGCCGAGCCGGCAGCCCCATCTCTGTCCCCTGTCTTAGCAGGCAGAGAGGACCCTGGCTTTTCCTTGCCTGGTGGCCCTCCACATTACCCCACAGAAATGGGTGCATGCTGGAGCTGCTGCTCAGCTTGGGAGCCCACGGGCCAGACATTCGCTCCCGGGATGCTCTGCGTGCAGCTTGATGAGGGGACCCACGTCCCAGAAAGAGCTGGGGGCTGGCTGAGCCGGGCGCCCATCCTGCAGCCTCCGGCTCCTGTCAGGAGCCGCTCTCCGTGTTGAGCCACGGATGGAGCTGCTCTGCTGGCCCGCAAGTGCCCGCCTGCCCAAGGCACAAGGATGATCCCTTGCAAACGGGCCAGCAGGTCCTGCCACCCCACGCTGCAAGGAGCAGCCCCTGCGGCCAGGAGCGGGTTGTTATACCCCCATAGCCAGGCACCAGTACATGCAACATGTCAAGGGATGACTGAGCATGGTGCAAGGAGCGGGCCCTGAATAGGCTTACACTCACACATTTTGGGGAGTTCACCCTCTAAGACATGCCACACGCCACTACCTGTCCTGCCCTGCCCCGTGGCAGTGGCATGTGGCACGCCAGCTATGCAATGAGCTGCCTGCAGACCTCCCCGTCT